GTAAGCGCCACACAAAACGTAGGCGTCTGGCACATGGCTACGGATGCTCAGCAAGAACGATGTCTTTGGACACAGGGCCACTACACTCATGAACTCACTGCCCAAAACCTGAGGCTGGGCCCATCAGTATTTTACACTGGATGGGGGAAGGACTCCTGAGGCCCCACCCTGTCCGGAGGGACTACTGGTAGTTAAACGTTGCTGGCGGAAGGAGTCCCCTACGCTCATGCAAGCTGGACATGAAAGTAGGGGCGCTCACTGGGAAGAAAGGTTTCAGCGGGTGAGGATATGGTAACAGAGGAGGGTAACTACGGCCAAAGGCCATTAGGGACGCGTCGGAAAATGTCCCTTCCCCCTAAGTAAATACATGCTGAATTCGTGGTCAGAAGAATGGGTACAGCAACTTGTTTTCACAGACGCTCTCCAGAGAAGTGGTTCCAACCCGGTGTGGAGAGATTCCACCAGGACTACTAAGCGAGGAGTGTGGCGGTCCTGAGCCCCGCCCTCAGAGGCAGGCTGATCCCTGGTCACGTGCTGGCAGGTAGCCAATCATCCAGGGGGGACGGAAAAAAAAAAAAAGAATGGTGAACTTAGGCCCTCGGACGTTCTTCACTGACCGGAGGTCAATTCGGGTGGCCTCATGTCGCACAGCGGAGCTGATCCTGAGCAGAGCCAGAAGGCGTCAGAGGCGGACGCCATGGCAGCGACCTTCCGGGCTAGCGGTAATTGCTGGGCAACCTGGACCAGCTGCGGCGCGGAGCCCACCCTTCCTTTTCCGTAGGGCGTTCTAGTCCCAGCGTCAGGGCCGGCACCCCTGCCCAGGCCGGGGCGGCGGGCCGAGGGAGGGAGGGCTTGCAGGCCCTGTGACACTGCAAGGGTTTAACCCTTTAGCTCCCTTCCGCTAGCATTCAGCTTCTAGAAACTCTGGGCCGACGGAGCGCCCCTGGGCTTGAGCCGGCTGGGGCATTAGAGCCATTCCGGGAAGAGGGAGACAAGGTTCTTTGCTGACTGATCTTGACTGTCCCCAGAACACCAGCATATTCGCTACAACCCGCTCCAGGATGAGTGGGTGTTAGTGTCAGCCCATCGCATGAAGCGGCCCTGGCAAGGACAGATGGAGCCCCAGCTTCTGAAGACAGTGCCTCGCCATGACCCACTCAATCCTCTGTGTCCCGGGGCCACGCGAGCCAATGGGGAGGTAAGCCCGAATACACGGCCACCAAGTGAAATAGATAGAGGAAATCGTTCTTCCTTGTTGCTGCCCTTTGCCCACAAGAGGGGGCAGTGCGCCTGCTCGTGGGTTGGATTCCTAGAGTGGACCTTCCTCGCTTGGCTCCCTTGCAAGCCTGTGTAGCCCCTGAATCCGCCAGGTGGTAGTATTTCTAGCCTATTCTTGTCAGTAGGTGAATCCCCACTATGAAGGCACCTTCCTGTTTGACAATGACTTCCCAGCCCTGCAGCCCGATGCTCCGGATCCAGGTACCTCAATAAACCACTGTTGGGAAGGCCTGGGTGTGCCGGGGGAGCTCGCGCTGCAGAGTAACGCTCCTTTATCCCAGGGCCCAGTGACCACCCTCTCTTCCGAGCGGAGGCCGCCAGAGGAGTTTGGTAACTACGGATTCCCCTCGTACATCCTTCAGCCCAGGGTTGAAGACCAAAGACCTGCCCCTAGCCCCTAATCCCCGTCTCTCTGTCAACCCTTCTTCCCTCACCACCTAGTAAGGTCATGTGCTTTCACCCCTGGTCGGACGTGACGCTGCCACTCATGTCCATTCCTGAGATCCGAGCTGTCATCGATTCATGGGCCTCAGTCACAGAGGAGCTGGGTGTCCAGTACCCTTGGGTGCAGGTCTGTGAGGGGGCGATGGAACTTTGGTTTTGGGGAGTCGCATTACTGCTTCCATAAGGTACTGGCAGAAGGGGGTTGACTTGATGTCTCTGACTACTAAATCTGTCCACTCCTGCCCAATAGATCTTTGAAAACAAAGGAGCTATGATGGGCTGCTCTAACTCCCACCCCCACTGCCAGGTAAGTGTGTCAGGGACTATAATGGCTTTCTTGGCTGAGTCCATGCCTGCATTGTGGGCAGGAGAACTAGATTAAGAAATTCATTGGTAATGGGGAGGCCTAGACATACGGACATGCCTACTCTTCCTTGTTCTTGTCTCTTGACAGGTTTGGGCCAGCAGCTTCCTGCCAGATATTGCCCAGCGTGAAGATCGATCCCAGCAGAGCTACCACAGCCAGCATGGGGAGCCTTTATTATTGGAATATGGCCGCCAAGAGCTCCTTAGGAAGGTGAGAGCGAGGCCTTTTGGGAAGGGATAGGGCATCAGCAGTCATCTAAAGGAAGCTAATGGTAGCTTACACTAGGGTACACCTCATTTCCATTCGGTGTGTCTAGGAACGTCTGGTCCTAACCAGTGAGCACTGGATAGTCCTGGTGCCCTTCTGGGCAGTGTGGCCTTTCCAGACACTACTGTTGCCCCGGCGGCACGTTCGGCGGCTGCCTGAGCTGACCCCTGCCGAGCGTGATGGTGAGTGTCCCAGGTAGGACCCTGGGGCTTGGTAGTGGATGGAATGCCCATGATGGGACAGGATGAAAATCAGACTCTGATTACAGATCTAGCCTCCATCATGAAGAAGCTCTTGAGCAAGTATGACAACCTGTTTGAGACATCCTTTCCCTACTCCATGGGCTGGCATGGTAAGGCTTTTGGGGCTGGAGTAGCCCCAGCACTGTTTCCCGGCCCCTAGTTTCTGGCTCAGAGAACTACAATCCTTACCAAGCCTTAAAACAAGTTACCAAAGCAGGGTTGCTGGGACTGGGGATGGAGCGTCGTGGTGAAACTGTCACTCAGTGCCCCCTGGTGGCCAACACTGGGAGATACGGTATTCAGGCTCCTAGCCTAGTTTAGGGGAGGGGCTAGGCTGAAGCCTTAACCAAGGGCCATCCTGATCATCTCTGCCTTCTTCTGGTCAGGGGCTCCCACAGGATTGAAGACTGACGCCACCTGTTGCCACTGGCAGCTGCACGCTCATTACTACCCTCCACTCCTGCGCTCTGCTACAGTCCGGAAATTCATGGTTGGCTATGAAATGCTTGCTCAGGCTCAGCGGGACCTCACTCCTGAACAGGTCAAGCCTCAGACCTGTTTATATCTCCTCTCCCCTCATTTCCTCAAGTGATCTCAACAGTCATGGCCCTGAGAAGCCTCATAAAAATCTAGGTGTTGGTAGGAACTCAGTTGCTCCCCAGCTCCACTCCCTGGTGATTTTGGCTAGCCTTGTTACCAATCTTCCAATCCTATATGCCCTCCTCAGTATTTCCTGGGCCCCGAACTCCAGACCATTCCAGGTGACCCTTATTCTTCTTGATTGCTCCTTGTCTCCTTCTAGGCTGCAGAAAGACTAAGGGTGCTTCCTGAGGTACATTATAGCCTGGCACAGAAAGACAAGGAAACAGCAGGTGTCGATTGATGGGGATGACATCAGGGCCTTGCCTGACAGAACTGGGGCCTGGAGTTCGGACAGATGTGACATAAATAAAACTGAATCTCAGATTTTAAGCGTGTTTTCTGACCCCGGAGGAGTGCGAGCACTTACATTCTGGAGTTTGGGTAAAGGCTAAGTGTGATTGCAGACACTCTTGCCTACAGATTTTCAACAACTTGATGCAAAATCCCCTCCCAAGCCAGACATGATGGTGCATGCCTGTAGCTCCACACATTGGAAACCTGTGAATTTGAGACTGGTGTGGGTTACCTAGCAAGACCTAATCTCTGAAACCAAAGCAAGCTGGGCCTCCTGGTACAAGTCTGTAATCCTGTCTATCAAGGAGGCTGAGACAGGAGGACTGCAAATTCTGGGTAACTCAGTGCGTCTGTCATGAGATAAAAGGTCCTGAGAAATAGCTCTGTGATAGTGTTTCCCTGACAAGGGTAAGGCCCTGTGTTCAGTCCTAAGTATGGAGGGAAAAAAAAAATTCTACCTCCATTCTCTGAATAGTGTTCAGTATTATATCTGATCTTCTTAACTTGTGACATAAACATCATCTTAGTTTAGGCGGCTATTTAAAATCTTAGCTTGGCAGAGTCTTTGGAAGGCCAGAACCTGTTGTCAGCTCACCAAGCCTGAGCCTCAGTGTGGTGGGGAGAGGGTGAGCAGAATCCTAGTACCAGTGGCCATCCCAGCCTGGGCTGCTCGCCAGAACCCTGGGTTTGTAAGTGGCCACAGCTGGAGTCTGCTCCAGACCACAGGGGCTAAAGGGGGCGGGTTGGGAGTATACATGTGGCTTTGTATTTTTGGCTTCCTCGGTTTCTATGTGTAGTGTATGTAGCTTCGGTACCAACCTACTCTGCACAGGGTGGAAACGGGTGCTGAGCCAGAGGTAGATCTAGGGCCTAGAATGACCTTGGATCTGTTTTCCCTGTGATAGTGGAGGAACAACAGGCCATTTGATTTATGAGACCGGTTGTCACATGGGTTCTCCAGATTCTAAAGCAAAGGTGAGAGCTGTGCTGTGAGCGACACAGGGAGGGCTAGAAGGCTCTTGTCCATTCTTTTCCAAGGGAGCTGAGTCTTACGGTTGAGAAGTCAAGTAACTGGGCCTGACCTCTAAGTACCCTGGCTTTTTATTCCTGCCATCCTGAAGGACCTTGGGCCATTCTGAGACCTTGGAGGTGTTGGGGGTGCCTGGGATTGCAGTGTTGCCTGGGTCTGGAAATCAGGGAGCGTAGGCGCCTGTCACTTGGCTAGTGGCTGGTTTCTTACAGCACACATAGACACCGCCCCCTAACCTTGCCTAATGTTTGGGACCGCCTGGGGAGTTTTCTAGTACTGGAGTCCACATGGAACGGGCAGAGATTCTGATTTAACTGGCATGGGCCTGACTGTTCTAAAAGTATAGTACTCGACTAAGTTTGAGAACTAGAACAACCCTCTGTCTCCCTGTTTTATCTGGAGTCTGGGGCACCTTCATTGAATGCAGTCAGCTGCGCAGTAGTTCAGTATGGAACGCCAGGCTGGGACGGCAGGGCACTTTCAGGCCTGCTGTCCCTGGGAGGACAGGTCTTCAGGAGACGCCTGAGGAATACAGTTCCAGGTTTTGTCCTCGGAACCCTACTCCAGCACCCTCCTCTAAGTTCCAGACGGGACAGGAAGTGTCCAGAGGAGGTGGAAGTGATTGGCAGTTGGAGGCTCCAATGGGCGGAGAGCCCCCCCTGTTTCACCTCTTTCCTTCTATTGGCGCCTGGAGGAGCCGCCCCGACTGCAGGAGCCCAGCACTGCAGGGAGGAGAGGCTGGGGCAGAGGGTGAGGGCGGAGGGCGCTGGCGGCGAAAGCCGCGGAAGGTGAGGCCTGCTGGGACCTGGGTGTTGACTCCTAAGTCCTGCCAAGAGGGGCGGGGCAGGGTGCTGTGTGATCTGAAAGGCAGTTTGAATGTGTTTGTGAGTCCGTGTGTGAGACTCTGACACGGTGTCATCTGGTGTATTGACAGCTGACGTGACTGCGTTTGAGAGTGTGATTCCACCTGGGGCTGTTTGGCACAGCGGCTGTTTTGGAATGCGTCTGTCGGCGTGCACTTTTTGTTTGTGAGAGGGGCTGTGTACACACCAAAAAATGTGTTGTGGGAAGCTCTGTGGGATTTGAGAGAGCGCGTGGCTGGGTTTTTGTGTGCTAATGTGTGACACACACATTGAAGAGCAAGAGTGAGGCTTGTGACTGTGGATGGAGTGAAGCTGCGTTCTTATATTCGGGAACTACTTCAGTTGTCGAGGGAGACTGACTTTTCTACGGAGCCTGAGGCATAGACAGATCCCCCACCCCACCCCACCCCAAGGCACATGGCTTTCCTTCTTCCTCTTCTCCAGACCTGATGGGGGCTGGGAATGCAGTTCAGTGATAGACTGCTTGTCTAGAGCCAGGGCCCGGGTTCCTCCAAGGCGGAGAAAGTAAGGCCCATCACACCATCACTGGTCCACGGCTCTTAATTAAGACAAGGCCACATGCATCCTAAGCCTCTGGATTGCCGTGATTACAGATGTGTTTTTATGGTGCTGGGCATCAAACCTAGGGTCTGTGCATGTTAGGCAGCTGAGCTATATCCTAGGCCCTTAAACTACTGATGTTTCTGTTTTCACCCCTGACTCGTTTCTTTACATTTCTTTCTCCATCCCCATGACTGTCTTCCTGGAGAGATTTTCATGTTTTCTCACAGCTTTTCTCCCAGGTGTGTCTGTGTTTCTGCTTTACTGGTTCTGTCGCCAAGCTGTCTGTACCTCAGTGTTCCTCTGCCTGAATCCCCTGCTTCGTCTTGTCTCTGGCCACACAAGGACTTGTAACCCTGCTATGATGCTCATCTGTCATTGCCAAGAGCTCCTATGCACTCCCCATGGTAAGGAGTTGCTTTTAGGGAGTTCTGGGACACCCCCCCCCCAAAGTATGTGTCTCCATGAGGTGTGTAAATGTGTCTGAGTGTGTGTGTCTGTATCTGACTATATCTGAGAACATGAGTCTAAGGGTAAACCTGAGTCTTGTATATCTGGCACCAAGGGATCAAAGGCATTTCCTGGTGCTGAGGCCCAGCTGGTGGAGGGGGAAAATGGATGGCTGGAACTTCCAGGGAAGTGGGGAACTGGACTCTAGCCTTTCCTTATATTCTCCAGTGTGAGCCCTGTTTCCCCCTGGAAACACAGCCAGCTGTGCCCCAAAGAAACATTTATTAGACAGTGGGAAGAATAGGAATGAGTATGTGTGTGCATTAATTTTTTTCATTGTGTCCACATGTGTTCAAGTGAATGTCTTTGAGCTAGTTAAATGTGTTTAGTGAGTCTCTGAGTAAATGAGGCTTTGAAGGCTCTGTGAGAACACAGGAAATCTAGCGGCAGGGACACAAGCAGAAGCAACCCTCCTCTCCCTCTTGCTGGTCCTGGCTGTGTCTCTGGCTTCCTTTCCAGCTTGCGGGGGGGGGGGGGGGGGCCTTTCCTTCCCAGACCCTGGGGGGGGAGGGAATGAGAGAGGAGGGATGAAGAAGGGGTGGGAGGAGGGGGCTTGCTAAGCTCTAAGGCCCAGAGGGGGCGGGGCAGGGCATGGGAAGGAGGAGATGGTTCTGGGGTCCCAGGACTCAGCAGAGCAGGAGACAGTGCTGTAGCCTGTAGGAGGAAGTCTGGGAGGCCATGGACACTCAGCCACTGTGATTACCGAGGTAGGGTGGGGCAAAATGGGACTGGGGACCCGGGTCAGGGTGACGCAGATATATGAAGGCCTACTGCTCTACTCTGGCAGGGTCTCCTGGCACTTTGGCTGAGGGCTTGCCATCTGCCTCTTCCATACTGCTGCCAAGCTGCTGTTCTTCTCCCAGCACCCCACTCCTTCCCTGTCTGCACATTTCTCAGACTTTGCGTCCTGCCGCCCCAACCCAGACGTTTTCCGTATTGTCCCACAACCCCATTGCCTTTGGTCCTGAATGCCCCCCCCACAACTTGGTGTTGTGGCCCTCACACCAGACCCCAGTTCCTTCAGGCTCCCAGTTCCTTCCCTTCTCAGCCACCCCGTCTCCATCTCCATCTGCTGGCTCGTCTCCCACTCCTAGCCTCTGGCAGCCAGGGCATCTGGATCCGCTTAATTCTGCAGCTCCAGCCTGCACCCTAGCTCCATCCAGCCTCAGAGGCTTGAGACCAACAAGAATTTAAACCAGGCTCATTTGAGTGGCCCAAGTAATGGAGCAAGAAGCCAAGCTGAGGCCAGAGGCTTGGCTGCCAGAGCAGGGGCAGGTCTCATGTTGGGATTATGGGGTACATTTGGGCCCATCAAGCCAGATCCCTATCTTAGGGTGATGAGGCTTGCTGAATGTTGGCCAGAGGCAATAATTAGCCTTGGTCAGGTTGGGGTTGAATGGTCAGAATTCTCAGCAGCTGGATTGTATGGGTTAATGTGAGTGGATGAGCCAGTGCCAGTCCTTGGTGCCAGGGGTGGGTGGCAAGGATGGTGTGTGTGTGTGTGTGTGTGTGTGTGTGTGTGTGTGTGTGTGTATGCTGGCATGGCCTGTTGCCTCTGGCTTTTGTTCTGGGCCTTACGCCCAGGACTGGGATGAACGCGTATGTGTGTGTGTGTGTGTGTGTGTGTGTGTGTGTGTATGTGTTTGTGAATGTGCATACAAAAATATATATACACACACAAGGACAAATAAAAAACAACACTGGGTGTATGGTGGGAAAGGGGACTTCAGGTTAGATTTCTTAGTCACTTCCAATGGCTTCATTTCTCTTGATGCCTCAGTTTTTGTTAAGGAAGCCCCAGCTTTGGAGGGGATAAGCCAGGCTTTAGCTCAAGGATGGGCAACTCCTAAGCCCCCTTTTTCCCCACAGATGAGCAGCAGCTGTTTAGGGCTGAGCAGGGTCCTGGTGGTTGTGGCTACAGCCCTGGTGTCTTCCTCCTCCTCCTGCCTCCAAGCTTGGGGTCCTCCAGGTAAGAAAATGTTTCTCTGCTCCCAAGTCTAACTTCATGCTTTGACACAGCGGCCCCACCCAGGGCGTAGCAGCCTGCTTCTCACTCTGCTGCTCTTGTAAGTGGAAAGGAGGTGTAAAAGAAGGGCCTCACCTCAGAAATACCCTTCACAGGGGTCCAGTATGGGCAGCCTGGCAGGCCGGCGATGCTGTGCTGCCCTGGAGTGAATGCTGGGTAAGTGTTCACCGACCCGACTGACCGTCAGTCTCACTCTTTCTTGACCCTGCCCAGGCCTTCTGTTCCCTCCTACCCTTGCTCCTTCCAGCTGTATTCCTTTCCTGTCTGTCCTAACCCTCCAGCTGTACCTATTCAGTAGAAAATATAGCCAGTTAGGGATGTAGCTTGGTGCCAGAGTGCTTGTCTGGTATGTACAAGGCCTTGGGTTTGATACCTACTACCAAAATCATCAACCCGTCAGCCAGCCAGCATGTTTGAGTGCCTGCTGTGTGCCTGGCCTAGTGTGTGAGATACAGCAAGACATGTGACTTCAAGAGCTCTCTCACCTTGGTAGGGAAGACAGACAGTAAGCACACAAGAATCTGGCCAGGTGGAAAGGAGCAGCCATGCACAGGCCAGACACACTCCCGGCAGAGGCATCAGCTTTTGCAAATGCCCTGAGGTGGGAATGAGCTCTGTGCTGAGAACAGAAAGGCGAATGTGGCCTGTGGGAATGGAAGGCTGGCATGATAAAGGAAGGCAGAAGTAGACTGCAAGGGACTTTATAAAATGAAGGGAATTTGGGCTTGGGTCAGTCTCTGCTCTTTCTTGTTTTTATTTTATTACTTTGTTTATTTTGGTATCTGGGAATGGCCTGCAACTTGCTATGTAGCTCAGACTGGCCTCAAATTTACGAACCTCGTGCTTCAGCCTCCTGAGGTGACTGGCATGGTATAAAATGTGGTTTTATTCCAAGCGTGCTTGGAAGCTCTTAGAAAACAGCTGCATGGCCTGACTTGGTTTCCTTCTGTTTCATCACCTCATCTCATCCAGGACACCAGTGTCCTGGTTTCGGGATGGGGAGTCAAGGCTGCTCCAAGGACCTGATTCTGGACTAGGACACAGACTGGTCTTGGCCCAGGTGGACAGCACCAGTGAGGGCACTTACATCTGCCAGACCTTGGATGGTGAATCTGGGGGCATGGTGACCCTGAAGCTGGGATGTGAGTTAGGGAAGGTGGCAGTGAGGGGCCATGGGATTCCCAAGGACCTGGGACCTGAGCAAGCCCTTTGGGATAGGGAGGAGCTAAGGATGTCTCAGTCTCCAGCTGTGCCCTCTGTCTCCAGTTCCCCCAGCTCGTCCCAAAGTCTCCTGCCAAGCAGTAGACTACGAAAACTTCTCTTGTACTTGGAGTCCGGGCCAGGTCAGCGGTTTGCCCACCCGCTACCTTACTTCCTACAGGTATGCGAGGGTGTGTCTGGTATGTGTGCCTATGCAGTTGGGGGTGCTGGTATGATATTGGTATGGGAGGCAGGGAGGGAGATTCTAACAAATCCTTAGAGAAGGTAGGGGCCCCTCTTTTCCTCCTGACCTCAGATGGCACCCTTTCTACCAGGAAGAAGACCCTGCCAGGAGCTGAGAGTCAGAGGTAGGACATGAGAGAGACTGGGGAATCTAACTCATTTCCTATTTTCTTTTTTTTTTAATTTTAATTTTAATTTTTTTTAATTTTATTTTTCTCATTAGTTACATTTTGTTAATTCTGTATCCCTCATTCCCTCCCCAGTCCCACCCTCCCTATCATGTCCTATTTTCAAAATCCAAGACTATTCCTTTCTTTTAGGGAAAGCCCATCCACAGGGCCTTGGCCATGCCCTCAGGACTCTCTAGAGGCTTCCCGATGTGTAGTTTATGGGGCAGAGTTCTGGAGCGAGTACAGGATCAATGTGACTGAGGTGAACCCACTGGGTGCCAGCACATGCCTACTGGATGTGAGATTACAGAGCATCTGTGAGTACCCTGACCCCAAGGCCTCCTTCCAGATCCACATCACAGGGACTCCAAACAGACTCACATCCCCTTTGCCCTAACTTCCAACTGGTCTTCTCCTTTTCATACAGAAAGGCAAAGTAGTCACAGGGATGGGATCTGTACACACTCTACAGGCTCCTGCTGCTACCTACGTCCTCGCTGACTCCTGCTTCTAGGCCCTATGCTGGAGGCAGTCCAAGCTCATGCTTTCCCTGTGCAGGGGAAAGGCTTGCTGCTCCCTTTTTCTTCTTGATCTCAGTGTGGGAGGGGAGAAGGCAATAACCTTATGGTGGAATTTGCGCCAATGAATCTTCCATGGACGGCAGAAAGAATACCTTCATCATTCAGATAATCAAATTGTGCTCTCGGATTGCTGCTTATTTTATAATAAGGATGACAGACAGGTCCTGAGGCTAAATGAGTGATCAAATTTGACATTTCCCCTCCTTCCTGGGAGGTATCTGACTAAAGCACCTTTACACACACATCGTGGGAAGGGACTGTCACTTCCTGAACTTTTGTGTCTGGCCACCCTTAGTACGTCCTGATCCACCCCAAGGCCTACGGGTGGAATCAGTACCTGGTTACCCACGACGCCTACACGCCAGCTGGACGTACCCTGCCTCCTGGCGTCGCCAGCCCCACTTCCTGCTCAAGTTCCGGCTGCAGTACCGCCCAGCGCAGCATCCAGCATGGTCCACGGTGAGGGCTGCAGTGTGTCTCAGTCTTGACCTGTGGGTTCTGTCTCTGGCTTTGGGAGCTTTTAAAAAAAATATTTTATTTATTTATTTTAGGTATATGAGTGCTCTGACTGAATGTATACCTGCATGTCAGCAGAGGGCTTCAGACCCCAGTATAGATGGTTGTGAGCCACCATGTAGTTGCTGTGAATTGAATTCAAGACCTCTGGAAGAGCAGGAAGTGCTCTTAACCACTGAGCCGTCTCTCCAGACCCTGATTTTGGGATTTTAACTATTCTGCATAGCTTTGAGGCATTGGCAGGTCTAAAAAGACCCAAATTTGCCCTCCTATATTGTTCCCAGGTGTTGGGCTGGTTACTGGAGTTGCAGCTGGTAGGACTTCTGTCCTGGGTAGCTGTAGTGCAAGCCTGTCTGTGAAAGATAGAAATGGCTTTAAAAAATCACTTCTAGGGACTGGGAAAATGGCTCAATGTGTAAAGAAATTGCTGTGTAAACTTGAGGACCTGAGTTTGAATCCTCAGAACCCACATAAAATCAGGTGGAGGAGTGTAGCTTGTAACCCAAGAGCTCCAATAGCAACAGGGGAGGAGGCAGAGACAGGAGAATCCCTCGAAGTTCATGGGCCAGCTAGCCTTGCTATGCAGCTGAGGGCAACAAAGAGCCTTTTTCAAACAATGTAGCAGGCAGAAGGACTTACTCCTGAGTTTGTCCTCTGACTGCCATACCCACTCACACACGCACAGATAATAATAACTTCTAGGAAAGGGGTTACCTTTTACCCAGAGAACCCTCCTCATATACACACTTGTATATCTAGCTGAAAACAGTGAATCTCTACTTCCTCAAATGTCAAAGGTTGGTTGGCATCTGTTCTGGGAAACAGCCTCTTTACTTCTTAATTTGCATTCAGAGCTGTCTGTCTGCAGGGTGCCTCGCCACACATTTGACATACGTTATCTCTGTTAGGTACAGTCACCCCTGTTTTACAATTGAGGAAGCTGAGACAGAGAGGTCCACAGTCCACTCAACAAGTAGCTTAGCAAAGTTTTGAAGACACACAGACTAACACTATAGACCCTCTAAATTACTGCATGCTTTCATATTCTCCAAACCCTGGACATAGATTCTGTCCCATCAGCATGGGACCTAGACCGTCTCTACCAGGTTGACAGAGATGGCAGTGTGAGAAGGGGGTACTCTCTGCTGGGTTGGCCTGGGTAGGCTCTCTGCTTAGAAGCTTGGATCATGCCCTGATGAACATCTTTCTCTCTAGGTTGAGCCCATTGGCTTGGAAGAGGTAATAACGGATGCTGTGGCTGGACTGCCCCATGCAGTACGAGTCAGTGCCAGGGACTTCCTGGATGCTGGCACCTGGAGTGCCTGGAGCCCAGAGGCCTGGGGTACTCCCAGCACTGGTGAGAGACAGAGACAAAGACAAAAATGGGCAGAGTCCTCGCCCTAAAGCAACTACCCCATAGACAGTTTTATACATCCCCTTGAGTACCCTTCAGCAGTGCTGTTGCTGTCCTACACTATAGCCTTGGTGGCCTGAGGCCCTACCCTAACTTCAGCCCTGAGTCGGCGCCTCTGCACGTATAGACCAGATATCTGCAAGTCTACAAGCCAGCTCCCCAGAAGCTGGCCACGCCCTTTGAAACTGCCTCTTAGGCCCTCACCTTAAACTAGGTTTTAGTCCTGCCCCTGCCTTAGAAAAGTAGAAGCCTCTACATACACCTCTCAGGCTTCATATTCCTTCAGGTCCCCTGCAGGATGAGGTACCTAATGGGAGACAGGCACACAAACAGCAGCAAGAGACGGTAGCTCAGGACAGTCTCACTTCTCCAAGGCCTTCCTCGCAGCCAGGCTTGAGGCCACTTGGTAAGTTTGCTGGATTGACAAAGGTGTATGGATGATGGGAGTCCCAGATAGAAGGTGGCACCAAGAATGGCTAACTAACATTGCCTTCCCAGTTATGTGTGGCCTTCTCAGATCACAGGGACCCATTGGAGCAAGTGGCTGTGTTGGCATCTTTGGGAATCTTCTCTTTCCTTGGCCTGGCTGTTGGAGCCCTGGCACTAGGGCTCTGGTAAGTGTCACTTGTTCCTTAGCTGTAACCCCCAACAGCTGCCTTGATGCCCGGAGACAACATCTATTCCCAGACCCTACCGATTGCTCAATGAACCACTTCTCCCCACCTGACTGTCCTCTCCATCATGATTTTCACTAATTCTTCACCCTTTGCTAATAAGTCCTCTTGGAGACTAGGGAGACAGCTGCCCTTTTATGCTTCAGGCTGAGACGGGGTGGGAAGGATGGTCCTCAGAAACCTGCATTCTTGGCGCCAATGATTCCAGTGGACAAGCTTCCAGGTGAGTAGCGCTGAGTAATCTGGGCCCTGACTTGAATATCTGACTTAAGAATCTGATGTCCTATTAATTTTATGGGTCCTAGGAATCACTGGAGTTGGGGCTTCTCATTTTTCTATATAGGCAAGGAGGTAGACCTTTTTGTTCTTGAATGCCTGGTCTCAGAAATGGGTTTCTTTCATCTTAAGAGCATTAGGAATTCCAGGCAGTGCCCTTCATTTTCAAGGTGTCAGAACTGGACATCGACCCTTCCCCCTTAAATATCTTGGATCAATGCTCGCTCCTCTCCCCGATTTGAAAATTATTGTGTAATGTGAATGTATGCAGGCACACATGTGCTATGGCATGCATTTGGAGGTCAGAGGGCAACTTTGTGGAGTTCTCTTTTTTTAAGTTTTACCATTTTTTTAAATTTATTACAATTTATTCACATTGTATCCCAGCTGTAGCTCCTCCCAGTCCCACCCTCCCTCCCTCTTTTCCTCCCATGCCCTCCGCAACTCCACTGACAGGGAAGGTGCTCCTCTTCTTCCATCTGACCCTAGCTTATCAGGTCTCATCAGGACTGGCTGCACTGTCTTCTTCTGTGGCCTGGTAAGGCTGCTCCCCACTGAGTTCATGTTAGAGACAGTCCCTGTTCCCCTTACTAGGAACCCACTTGGATGCTGAGCTGCCATGTGCTATATCTGAGCAGGGGTTCTAGGTTATCTCCATGCGTGGTCCTTGGTTGGGGTATCAGTCTCAGAAGAGACCCTTGGGCCCAGCTTTCTTGGTTCTGTTGCTAGTTCTCTATCTTTACCTGGGTTCTGGGGACTGAATTCAGGTCATCAGGATTCCTTGATTAGCATGTTTTACCCCTGAGCATCCTGCCAGCCCAACCCTAGGCACGGGAGCTGTGCCACCTCATCTCTAGGGTGTTAGCACTCTCTCAAGGGTAGGCTCTTCTGTTCCACCTCAGGGTATTTGGCTGGGAAGTCTGAACCTAGTCCTGCTATCTCTTGATTTGCTCCCTGTTCTTCTAGGCATTCCAGACCTGCAGAGGAGCCAGGAGAACTTCAGCTGATTTCTCCTGTAACCCTGTCAGACTGGGGGAGTTAAATGGACAGGCAGAGAGAGGCAGAGCACTGGAAACCTAAGGGGGGTCTCAGCGGGAAGCCTGGAAGCCCTTCTCTTTGAGACACTATACTCCAACCTTGCTGTCAGCTGCTCATGCTCTGGATCTCTGACGTCATCCTTGAGGTGGCAGTCTACCCAAGGAATGTGTATAGATGTGCATGTATAGATGTGCATGTGTGATTGGGTGTATGTATGTATATAGATGGAGAGTGTGTGTGGTCTTGGCCCTGGCCCTTATGGGGACTGTGAAGAGCTGAAACAAAGAGACGGAAGAAGTTTTTGGATATTACTGTCTAATGTTGTTTTATTAGTTTTGCTGTTGGGGGCTTGAGTACATTTTCTTTTGTAGCACCAGATTTAAGTTGGGTATAATCCCCTGGAGCCTTTTCCCATGGCGCTCAAACCACCGGGCCAGGCTGCGGTTCTGGGGATGAACACAAACACTGCGCCGAGCCAGGTGAAGCCTGGGAAGGGAAAAGTCCAAAGCTATGCCCACATTTAGGGGGTGAGCTTAGGTATAGGGTTCAGGGTTCAGAGGTTAGGGACAAGAGCCAGATGAAAACTTGAAAGGTGTTAGAAATTAGTCTCAGGGCTAGAATTGCCAGGGGCTCTGACTGAGGGCAAAGTTAGAAGTATGAAGGTTGAAGGCAGAGCTCACACAACAGCCTTCAGGTGACAGTCTCCATCGGCCTCCTGCAGTTCCACTTGGACGATCCTCCTCAGTAGCCTGCTTGGGAGTGGTTGTCTATAGAGCTGAGTACAGCAGGTAGTGCTGGAGGGCAGTGGCAAGGCTGGAGAACAGTAAGGCCAGCTCTTCAGAAAGGTCTGGACCCACAGCTGCTCCACTAGATAGCTAGAGGGTGAGCTTTCTGGCCCTAGTCTATCCACTCAGCATTCTATACCCTCCGAGAACTTACCTGCTCCAGGGGTCAGGCTCAGGAGCAACAGCAGCAGGAGGCTGCCGGTGGGAGACAGTCCCTCCATGCTGCTCAGCCTAGCTACGTCTTTCTCCTCCGCTCCCCCACCTTTTATCTAGTTGTGTTTTGCCTTGGGCACTAAGTGAGTCAGAGACAGGTGGCAATGCCTTGCTTATCTTGTGATACTGAGCTCTAACTCTTGGCTTGCTGTCATTGACCCATCCCCTTCTAGGACTGCCATTCCCCATGGGTTTATAAGCCCTGAACAGAGAAGATGGGAGAGATGTAGGGAATGATGTAGGGGCTGATGTTATAGGCACTTAGGACCGCCATGATCCACTCTGCATCCACTAATAGACATTCATACCCACAGCCACACATTCACAGTCACACGTTGGTCATGTAACCTCATAAAGTCACACCCATGAATGTGTATAATCATGGACAAAAATCACACAGAGCCAGTTATACCTCAAAGCCCCCTGCAACACACCTGTGTCTCTACAGTCACCCCTTTGTTCTGTAGTAGTACATGCATATTCTGATGGAAGAGTTTGTGAGTGGGTAGGAACCTGCCTTCATCTTCTCCTCCCTACTCCCTGCCCTGGCCTGCATTTTTATCAGGAGAAATTGATGGGACTGGGCCCGTGATAGACTCTTCTTGGCTAACAGGGAGACTTGCACCATGAGGATGAGGAGGGAGACTGAGGTGGATAAGGAGGAAAAATAAGAGCCCTTTGATGCCGGATTGCTGGTGTTAAAACAGGCGGAAAGGGGTGAGATATGGTGGCACATGTCTTTATATCCAGTGCTTGGGAGGCAGAGTCAGGTCAATCTCTGTGAGTTTGAGACTAGCCTGGTCTGCACAGTGAGTTCCAGGCCAGCCTGGGCTACATAGTGAGGCAAATCACTATGTAACAACAAGCAAATCAACCAAACTCCCAGAAGACAAAAGCCCCTCTCCCAAATCTCACCTTCTTGCTTCTGCTTTCCCTGGTTCCATGGATGCCAGCTTGTCAGTGGGAGCCTGGGGGGTTCCAGACTTAGTCTCTGGCTTGTTGGAGACATCAGACTCAAGAGCAAAGTTAGGTCTCTCTTTTGATTCAAATTCTATTCTTTCCACTCTGGGTTTTAAGGAACATACCCCTCCCAACCCAGGTTCAGAAATACCCATTTCCCCAAACTCCAAGCACCCCATCCTATTTTTTCTGTCATTCTCTTCCATGCAAAATTCCTACTCATCTTGAGTCAGTTCCTTCTGGAAAGCTGTAAACTGCCTAAGGTGGGGCATGCTTGTTGGGTTAATGGCCCAGACTCCTAATCTGCAGATTTCAATGCTTAAATTCTGCTTTGGACTTGAAATATAAACTGAGTCATAACTCTAAAAATCCATTCCTAATCTAGAAGTTGCATTTTCTGCTCCAAGGCCAGTCATCCCCTTGGGACAGGACTCCCACTGCCCCTGAGCAGCTTGTTTTGCTATAGCTAGGCTGAAAACCCAAGTCTTGCTTCTGTCCAAGGTGAGACCCCAAAACCCCATAAAGCCCCACAGGACATTGTCTCAGGGGTCTCATAACAGTTGGGGAAGTATGGGCCCAGGGCTGCACAAAGCCTCTGAAGGGGTCTTTGATGTATACATTGTGAGGAAATGGCTAGAAGTTTGCACACTTGAAGGTAACCACAACCTCCATTTTCAGTAGTAGAGGCTTCAGAACATCTCTTACTCCCCCGTCCTAGACCTTTGTCCCAGGGCTTGGGTGTAGAACCAAAGAAATACCAAGGAAATGCCTCCGTTCTATCATCTTGTCTTCTATGTTCTCTGTTAACTGGTTGCCTGCCATTTGTGAGCTCTCTTGGACTTGTCAATTCGGAAAATCTTTGGAAGGCAGAAACATTTTCCTGGCTGTGTACCCATCTCTCCTTTTTGGCTTCTCCAAAGATACAGAGGCCAAGTCTTTCCCAGCACAATCTGCTATGGCAGAGGCAGCGCCAAGCTACAAGTCAGCTTTGGACTCCACCAGAATCCAGGCTGTTCCCACACGGTATTCCTCAGGTGCCCTTCCTGGTGCTGGAGTTAGTGTCTATGTGGAGGGCCAGTCTGACTCTGGCCACTCTAAGGGTTAATTGGCTCCAGAGCGATTTGGGTTAGGAGTGGCAGGAGTCTTCTAAGAAAGTAGCAAGAACTGCTAGTTCTTGCTGATGCCAACTATTTTGAAAACTGTGATCAAGGGCTGGCAAGTTGGCTGTGGTGCCAAGCCTGCAGACCTGACTTCCATCCCTGAGCCATCCATATGGTAGAGAGAACTGACTCTTACAAGCTGTCCTTTTACCTCTGCATGCACATGCACTGTGATGGGCATACACACACATGCAAGCACACACACACAGGTAATAAAAATAAAATTAAAAAACAAAAAGACCTGTGATCAGACTGGGGGAGCCAGCTTGAGATTTTCACTATAGGAAAGGCGAGACCCTCAACCCTTGTCGCTCTCCTGAGGTAGACTGCTAGAGACAGCTTCTAGGAACTCATCCTTCCTCTCACTTAGAGCTGACTCTGTAACTTTGGCTAAAATATTTCAGATCCACTCCCAGGAAAACAAGTTTTTTCAGACATTTGGTAAAGTTCGGGCTAGCGGAAGGCGGTAGGTGCTGGAAGTTGTAGGAACATTGAAAAGAGGGTAAGAATGTGGTCTACTCTCAGTGGGTGCTTTTGGAGAGGATGTGGCAGGGAGCCACGCCCTATGGCTCTGACTCTGGCGAGGGGCCTTTGGGAGGCCTTGACAAGCAGGCGCATCCTACCAGGGAGGGACGCCCTGAGGGTAAGACGTGGGATTCCCAGCACCAGCGACGGCTGCGGCGGTAAATTCAGGAAGGCAGTGGGCTTGACTTTAAATCTTTAATGCACCGGCTGTCTGTGCAGCGGTGGTAGGGGTGCGACAGAGGAGACCACGACCTGAGCGCTGGGGAGCAGGCCTCAGGCCGCTCGACAAACAGCTCATTAGGCCCCGCAGAGGCTCCAGCTTCTGCTCCCGGGGGTGCGCCGAGCTGTAGGGCGACCCGACAATGACATGAGGCGGAGCAGGGGCGCCTGGACTCGCCCCCACATCCGTCCTCCGACACTGAACCTCGTTCACGCCCCCCGCAAGATCGCAGGCCCCTCACCTCCGCTCCCTGCGCCACATTCGCAGCCAAGGAAAAAAGTAGAAGCAGCCCCAGTAGATCCTGCGAAGAGAGGCAGAGCCGCGCCGGGAGGGGCGGGGCTGACCCACAGACCCCACCCCTGGAACCCAGCCCGCAGAAGGGCCCGCCCCCAGGGGCTGGACAGCAGCAGCCCACGCCCCTCGAGGGCCGCTCCTCCCGCCCCAGGATTCGAACCTTCCCCCACCCCCGGCCGCACATCCCTCCTCCGCACCTCCCGCCTCCACTCACTCCTCCTCCGCTTCCAGCGCCACCTCGTATCTTCTCAGTCGCGACATGTCCCGGTCTCCGAACGGTTCCTGGGGAGCAGCATGATAGGAACACTTGTTCTCAGCCGCACGCCCCCTCCTTCTCCATCATTCCCGTGACGAGTCTGAACAGCCCCCAGGTACCCTGAGGCAGGTGCCCCCGCCCCCCGGAAGCCCGTCGCCCCGTCGGGACGCGGTGGGACTGAGGCTATGGAAGTCACTGGGCGTTCAGGCGTGAGGAGGACGGCTATCTAGGGGCCGGGACGCGGAGTCGTCAAGGAGAGAGGTCTGGCGGCAATGGGGCTGGGACATTTAGGGCCCTAGGTGCGGATTTCCAGGGGCTGGAGTCACCTGAAGGGGGGCTCAGGGGTCGGCACAGCCTAAACTCCCCGCCCTCCCTGGCTCCGCCCCGGAAACGGACCGTTAACAATTACATCACAGGAGTACCTTCGCACTCTGGGGGTGGGGCTTGCGTGTTAGCCGGAAGGGGCGGGGTCAGTGCTTGGGCGGAGGAAGTGTGCCGTGTTCTGTTTTTGTGTGTCTGTGGCGTGACGTTGGTGTTTATTAAGATGCCTGACACGCAGGACCCTCTTTTCTGGGATTCAGTTAGAGTTACGAACGTTGGTAGGCTGTGACCTTGCTTGGAGGCAGCAATAAAAAGTGCTTTGGGACGTGCCTCCTCTTCCTAACGCCTTACCTTGTTATTTTTTTCTTGCTAGTCCTTGAATGACCATAGGCCAGAGGGAATAGGCTCCCTAAAGCAGGTTAGGGTATGGAAATACTTCTTAGCTCAGTGGCCTGGGCCAAACCATCTAACGGATATTATTTTTTCACAGTTAGTTAATCAAATAGTATTGAATGTCTAGGAAATGCTGTGCCAATTTTGTTTGTATCAGATTTTTAAAAAGCCTTATTTATGTATATGAGCACTATTTGCATATATGCCTGCATGACAGAAATGACCATCAGCCACAAGAGGGCATCAAATGCCATAATAGATGGTTGTGAGCCACTGTGGTTGCTGGGAATTGAATTTAAGGACCTCCAGAAACAGCCGCTGCAAACACTGCTCTTAACCACTGAGCCATCTCCAGCACCTTTATATCAGAGGTTTAACTCCTTGATCAATGTCTTGGGAACCCTTCATTAACGGGCTGGTGTCTGAGGCTGACTTTGAGGTGCTACTGTGGAACTGAATGCTGTAAGAGCTGGTAACAGAATACTCTTGTGGATTCCCCACTGGAGGAGGTTGGGGAAGTCGCTTTTAAACTACTTAGTAGCTGCATTAGTTTCTTACTCTTTGGTTTCTGTTCTGACAGTCAGGAATTTGGATAAGAGGTAAGGAAGATGGCTTAGCATCTTGCAGAGGGCAGGAGTTTAATTCCAAGCACACACCCTGGGCGCCTCACAACCACCTGTAACTACAGCTCCAGGAGGAGCTGATGCCTCTGGCCTCCAAGGGCACCAGCTTTCATGTGCACATCCCCCCTCATAATTAAAAATAAAATCTTTAAAAAATACATATAAAGTGTGTGTGTGTGTGTGTGAGAGAGAGAGAGAGAGAGAGACATTCTTATCCTTAGGAAAAATTTGCAATCTTGATTTCATGAGGTATTTGAGCTGCTGTTCTCGAGAGCTGCTGTTCTCTGGGTGGGAGCCGGTGAAGAGAGCTCCTGCTGCCTTCACTTTCCTGCCACGACTGGGCAGACTAATGGAATCTCTTCTTCCCTTAAGTTGCCTTTGTATTTTATGACAACAGAAGAGAAAGGAAGACCCCACCTCTTGCCTATAGTTCTGAGATGGGGGTGGGGGTGGGTTGGAGGAGTAGGGAGGATGAGACAGTCTGTCCGTTCTGGGAGCACAGTCATGGTCACAGAAAGTAACTTCTCAGACATCACAAGTTTCTCCCAGAGGCACTGAAGTGCTTGCATAGCCATCATCTGAGCTCTACTCCCGTGGATGAGCAAAGCAAAAAGAAAAGTTCTTGCAAATCAATCCAGTCCCTAAGTCTTGCATTTCTGGTTGCTAAGATTTCACCCTCCTGGTCTGGCCATCCCTTCCCATCTCCTCTATTTTATTATGTTCCATAGCTTCCAGGAACATCAAGAGATGAAGATAGTTCCAAACACCCCTTGCTACCATGTCCTCATTATCATGTAGATTAAAGGATGTTTTTTAACTGAAATTGTATTTTTTTAAATTTTATTTCAGTTTATTTACTTTACATCCCAAGGGTGCCCTCTCTCCTCTCTTCCCAGTCCCCTCTCTGTTGCCTTCTTTCCCCTTCCACTATCCCCTCCCCTTTACTAACTCTCCCCAGCAAATCAAGTCACATCAGGACTGAGCCTCACCCCCTGAGGCCAGGCAAGGAAGCCCTGTCAGCCCTGCCAGGGGGAAGTGATTAAACTCAGGACCTTTGGATGAACAGCCAGTGCTCTTAATCTCTCCAGCCCCCTTTCACCTTTTTAAATATCTTCATCTCTATCTGTATTTTAATCATTACTTATCAATATATCCGTTGATCAGTTATGACATTAATATTTGTTGATCCTTAAATGCCAGGTGCCCTGCTAAATGCTTTATCTCATGACGGCTCTATGAAGTAGATCACTTGAGGGCTGTTTCTGTTCATGCAGACCACTTTTATTTATCTTTTCATTATTATTATTATTATTATTATTTTATTATTATTATTATTTGAGATGGGGACTGACTACATAGTCCTGGATGTCCTGGAACTCCCTACGTAGACCAGGCTGACTTTGACCTCACAGAGATCCTACTGCCTCTGCCTCCCCAGTGCTAGGATTAAAGAGCTGTGCCACTATGCCTGGTACTGATGTACTAGTTTTGAGACAAGGTTTTGCTATGTATTTCAGGCTGACTTTGAACTTATGGCAATCTTTATGTTTCAGTCTCTCCAGTGCTAGCTTTATAGGAGTTTACATATAAAGTTTACATACTTTATATGTAGTAGTGATGAGGCTATCAACTACAGTGTCATGATCCCAGGATGCCAATCCTTGAACACTGTGATAGATTAAAAGCCTGAGCATTAAATACAAATACAATGAGCCAGAGCTTTTCGTTAGATTTGACATTTGGATGCTGGAGGACCAATGTTTTAGGTTGGTTGCTATGAAAATTTAGAGCAACAAAGCACTAGAAGACTGTCCAGACAAAGCACAAAGAGTGTCCAGATCCAAACGGGACATGTGTGTCAACCCTTTCCTCCCCAGCTATGGCTCAGGAACATAGTAGAAGAGGAGTGGAAAGAATGTAGGAAGCAGAGGATGGGGAGGCATGTTGTGAAATGCAGTTTTCTGACCATGAAAGACATGGCTAACCCACTCATGAATGTGCGGAAGCTGTGGTTACCTGCATAGGATCCAAGTTTGGATCCCAGCACCCATGTCTGATGGGCTCACAACTGCTTGCAGCTCCAGCTCCAAGGCATCTATCACCTTGGAGGCATCAGAACACATGTGTCCATAACCTCTGTACACACAATTAGAAAATAATAAAAGAACATCTGAAATGGCACCAGACCAACCCCCAACAAGACCCCAAACACAGAAAAAATTAACAGGAATGGAGGTAAGAACACTTGAATCCCTGAATTACTGAGTTCAGGGTCTGGACTGGGTTTTTCCAGGTTCTTGGCTTCTTATCCAAGGAATTGAAAATAGCTCATCCAGATTTGTACAAGTAGCAAGGAAACTATCCACATCAAAGCAGAAGAAAAGATCCTAATTCATTGTAAAAGGTCAGCCAGCCACATGAGTACCACAAGGACCCCATTTTTAAAATCCTTCTCTAGGGCTGGAGAGACTGCTCAGTGATTAAGAGCACTGTCTGCTCTTCCCAGAGGTCCTAGGTTCAATTCCCAGCAACCACATGGTAGCTCACAACCATCTATACTGGGATCTGATGCCCTCTTCTGGCATGCAGGTGTACATGCAGAAAGAGCACTCTTTCAGTAAAATAAGTAAATATATCTTTAAAAAAGTAAAATCCATCTTTCATATATTATATCCCAAACACAGCTTCCTCTCTCTAGATTCACACCACACTACATCTCCCCTGAGAAAAGGGCAGGCCTCCCAGGGACATCCACCAAACATGGCATAAGAAGCTACAATAAGACCAGGTAGAAATCATCACATCAAGGCTGGACCAGACAACCCTATAGGCAGAAAAGGGCTCCACAAGTAGGCAGAAGTGTCAGGACAGCTCCAGTTTCCGCTGTTAGGCTGTTAGGACTGAGCAGCTTGGTTCTCTTGAAGGGCTCCAGTTCTTATTTGTGGGCTCTTGAGGCTAAAGGAGAGGAGTTTGGTCACAAGGGGTACAGTGAGGGTGGTTTTCTGTTGGTACTGATAGATTAGGGTATATGATCATTTTCCTTTTACACATGATCCTTTGCATAATGCCCTGACTTTAATCATATGCACATCCAATTGCACACAGGAGGAACATGATAAGCAGGGCATTATTCTCGCTCAGAGTTTACATGAAGACAAAGTTTTGACTTCTTCACATATTCCCCAAACTACTTCAGACTGGATCAGCCTTTCTCTTTTCAAACTGGACACACTGGGGATACAGCTGAATGAATAGGAACCATCTGAGTTTGATTGTTATCAGGAGCTGAGACATCTACTCTGTTGTTCAGAGAGGGAGGTGTGCAAGGGAGCTCTGAAGGTGTTCTGAAGATGCTAAGTGTGCTGTTTGGAGAGGTGTGTGTGTGTGTACAGGACATGCAGGTAAGGAGTTAAGCTGCCACATGCATTGTTACAATTGGGAGAGGGTGCAGCATAACCCCAATCAAGTCCAAGCTTGCTAAATTACTTCCTATGCTTGCCTGGATCACCTTGATTCAATCAAGGGTAAAGGCTATCTTTTTCCTCCCTAAGACTTATTTTATTTTATTTTTTAAAGTGTGTGTGTGTGTGTGTGTGTGTGTTTAACCCAAAGAGCATATCAGATCCCCTGTACAGGAGGTTGTGAGTCACCTGTACTGGATGCTGAAACTGAACTCAGATCCTCTACAAGAGCAGTCGGTGCTCTTAACCACAGAGCCATCTCTCCAGCTCTGAAGACAGTCTTTTAATCCTCCTATCTCTGCTTCCTGAGGGCTTGGAACTGTACATCATTATGCCCTTGATTCAAGTTTGTCATTTTTAACTCTTACTACTCCAGTGTTTGCCTAGCATGCATGAAGCTGGTTTTGACACCTACCACCGCATAAACCAGGCTTGGTAGCTTGTAGCCCCAGTACTTGGGAGGTGGAGAAGCAGGAAGATCAGGAGTTCAAGTTCATCCTCAACTACAACTTGAATTCCAGGTCAGACTGGGTTATGTGAGACCTGTCTCAAAAAACCAATCAAACAATGAAGACAAATGACAACAATAAGCAG